CGGAGCCGAGTTTTGATGACATTTGGAATCTAAATGGAATTGATTGATCTGCTCAGAAATTGGGAGTATTCAACCATTAGACTTGTGAGCCTTGTTCGGTAGCACCAAGTGTTTAATCGTTCACTATATTCACCTGGCGATGAATAACGTATCGATATAAACAGATTACGATATTATAATATCAAAAATAAGCAACGCCATAAATCATAATGGAAAGCATATGCTAACTGAGTAGAAAATCCAAGTTTAAAAAAATACGAATTAAGGAATTTCTGAATTTTATTGAGTGCACTTTCAGCTTTGTGGCGCAATTGAAACCAGGTCCAAGAGGAAGAGTGGAAAAATCGTAACGAAACTCAGGACTTAATGTGGAAAACGAGATAAAGACGTACCTAAAACTCTACCAGAAATAAGTAACTCGTATAGGAAGTGATGCCAAGTAAAATGCAATAGCATCTTGAGGACAATTAATATGAATGTGAAAAAAATAACCATGAGATTATAAATTCTAGTGAGCGACATAGGCTGGATAATTTCGTGACCAAAATTGCTGATAAACTCGAAAACTTCTCTTATCAAAAATGAGTAAATTTTGTCAATATAAGGCACATGCTTTCTTAATGAGCAATCTTTAAATCACATTAAGATATAATCAAAGAATTACTGATAGACTCGAAAACTACTCTTATCGAAAATGAGGAAATTTGTAAATATAAGACACATGCTTTCTTAATGAGCCATCCCATTATTAAAAAATAAAGGTAGAAAGTGATATCCAGATGACTACTTATGTGATTGTTAGAAAACCAATCTATCAATCTTTAAATCACAATAAGCGATATCCAAGAATTACTGATAGACTCGAAAACTACTCTTATCTAAAATGAATAAATTTGGAAATTGCAGTAGAAGTCACCTGTTTTCTTAACATGCATTGGGAGATGCACCCAGAGTTCTACTCATGTGATTGTGGGAAGCCAAATCTATTAGTCATTTAATCACATTGAGAGGCCTGGTCATATTAAGTTTGTATTCAACAATACCTTTTTCGTGTCATTAGCAAGTGGGTCTCGCTTATTTTATGTTAATTGCTCGGTTCTGCCTGTACCAGAAATGTTGTGGAGGTAAGGTTATACGTGCACACACTCTCACACACCTACACCTACTCATACATCCGACAGCTACGTACGTTTACACTCTTGTGCCGACTCTGTGGTTGCTCGAGCCCAGGGGCTGTCCAGGTAGCCGGGAGCACAGGCCTCACAATCTACGCCCTGCGTGTTGTGCTGACAATCGCATCGCAACTGGCCCCATGTGACGCGTTCGAGTCCGTCGGGTGTCGTCTCGACGAGACGATCCCGAACGCAACGACTCGCGTGTCCGTTGCACTTGCACCGACCCCCAATCGACAGGTCTGAGAAGCCGAAGTGTACCACATCATCGTTCAACTCGGCGTCCATCGCGTCTGCCGTCTCGCCATTTCTGGCCTTGCCAACGGTTGCTGGGCTCCCGATGGCCGAGTCGGCCTGGTAGTGCTGGAGGGTGTCGAGTCCGGCGAGCTGGCGCGAGGAGATCCGATGCCCGGGCAACAGATGGCCATCAGACGAGGCGTGTTCGTCGAGCCGGAAGATCTCGGGATCGAGTACCGCCTCCGTGTCGGAGGCGTAGGATTGGCGCGAGATGCGCGCGCCCTGACGTCCTCCGGGGCCCGTTTGTCCGGACTCGACTTGGCCCGACACGGCGTGGCCGGGCTCGACTCGAGGTGATCGGATCAGGCTGATGCGGACGTCCGTCACCGTCATCCACTCGATCAGAGCCGGACTCCACGGCTGCGCCGAGGGCCGACCGATGGTGGTGCTGAAGGGCAGGACGTTGGTGGTCTGACCGAAACGATTGAAGTTGGTTGGCGAGGGCAAATCGACGCAGAGCACCTCTTGAATGTTGGTGGAGGAGATTTGGGCGTTGTGCGCGTTGCTGGTGGGCAGTTTGAAGGCGCGATAACAGTCACGGGAAAAGTATTGCCATGGCTGCCAGGAGGCGCCGAAGTCGGCCGATTTGTAGACGGCGATGGAGTCGGGCAACTGTCCGCATGGCTGCAGGGAGATGTAGAATACCTCAAATCGCTTGGCCAGCGAAATGGTCAGATTGACGAGACCGGGCGCGACTCCGGGCCGCGGAGGCGCCGGTCTGCTGGAATCGGGCGCTCGAGCCACGGGACCAGAAATCCAACAGGTCTGGTTCGAGGCGCTATGGCGATCCGTCAGCTTGTCGGCTCCATGCGCTTCCGCGGGCCGGCGAGCATTGCAGGTCTCACAGAAGACATGCGATTCGCTCGACTCGTCTCGCCAACGCCGGCAGATGCGCTCACCACGACCCTCGGCGCCACATGTCGAGCTGGCCTGCACAACCAGACCCTCGGCCAGGTTGGTGAACTGCGGCTGGCAGTGATGCGCCTTTCCCTCGGCATGGCAGAACGAACGGGCATCCTCGTAGACAACCCGCACACCGGTACCACCAACCCCGCCGTTGTTGTTGTTGTTGTTGTTGTTGATGTTGATGTTGATGTTGCCCGGCAACTTGCCAGACTCGTCTACGGGCGCGAGGCCAAACGAGCCGGCCAGGAGGGCCGTGAGGCCGAACAAGAGAGCGAACAACTGCTGCATCCCTGGGGACGGGAGGGGAAATATCGCCCAAGAAGTGCAATTTCGGCAAGACGGGCAATCTCTGGGGGACTAGAGATGAGGCTCAGAGGGAGTCTGTGCCAGAAGTCGTCGTCGATTGCAATGCTCGCGATCGAGGCAGACGATTCGGAAGATTGCTCGTGACTGCTCGTGAGGCTGGACGAACTCTGGCCGAGGCCGTGGCAATTGTGACTACAGAACAGCAGGTAGGCCACTGTCTGCACGCATGTGTGCGAATGCAAGGACACGATGACACAACGCCTCTTCAGGCCGGTCTGCCTCCACCTCTACAACACACCATACACACACACACACACACACACATATATATATATATATATATATATATATATACACACGAGCAGGAAGACTCTTTGACGGGCTGCATGTACAGGAGGCAGAAGACCGTACATACGTGTATGTACAAGGCAGGATTCTCCAATGCCAGTGATCGAGCCCGGTAAAAATGCCCTCGTCGTGTTGATACGATCAAAGGATTGGCCAACCAAGAAACAGCCTCGTCTACAACTGAGGGAAAACGGAGGGCAGCATCCAAAGGGGGCTGGAAGTACCGGAGAATGGAGGGTGAGCGGGAGACAAGCGAGCAAGGAGACAGGGGAAAGAGGTGTTCTGCCAGTCTCCTCTTTTAGGGCACCTCGATAACCTGAGTATAGCCTGGCAAGCAGACATCCATACAGACATACAGACAAATGGACAGACATACAGATAGACAGGAGGACAGAGAAACAGATGGGCCAGCCAGCTCGGGCACACACATAGCATCTACAAAGCACGGGCATTGGCACACTTGCCCCGGCTTGCATACGTACAG